CTCGACGGAGGGCGGCGACAAAGCTCCGGCCGCCATGGCAGAGCTCATGACGGCACTCACGCAACAGCGGGATGCCCTACCTCCTCAGGTTCAGGCTCTCTTGGAGAGCCACTTCGCCGCGGACCTCAAGACGACGGAGAAGTCACTGCATCGCTTGGTCAAGCAACAGGGCCAAGCGAGGCAGGAGCTCAGCAATCTCCGCAGGGCCAGAGCCCAGTACATGGTGGAGTGGAATGGGTACCTTGCAGGACTCAAGGACCTCCTCGCCAAGCAGCTGGACATCAAGAACAACAGCATGCGCGAGTATGCGGAGGCCGAGGAGAAATGGACTTCACAGCTGGTTGCGGCGACACAAGCCTTGCAACAGGCTTCCGGAGGGGGTCCATCCAACGACACCGTCGACCTCACCGACGAGCACATCGACGCCATGGATGCCGAGGTTGCGGAGGATGCCGAAAGGGAGTCCGCAAGGTCTATGGCAGTCGAAAGGGCTACGGACAAGGAACAAGCGCTTGTCGCAGCCCTCGAGCTGGCTCAGCAGGCAGCAAAGGATCAAGCAGAGCAGTATCGGGAGCGAACTCCACGGCGCTCCAGACCGGCGGCCGGGGAAGTGCCGCCAGCGACTGCAGACGAGGCTGGCAAGCAGCCCCCTCGTGCGGCCCAGTAGCTTGCCTCTGTGAGGCTGCTGGGCCTATGCTACCCCGCATGGTGCCTCACACCATAGCGGATGACCGGAGCTTCATTGGAGAGTTCTGGGGGCCCCTTTTGGGTCTTTGTGCACAGGCTGATGTTGCCCTCCAGGAGTTCCTACCTGACGGGGCGACCAGTCCTTTCGACAACGTGGACCGCAGGTTGCTGATGGGCAGCAGCTTGTGGGATACTTTGGCACAGGAAAGCGTTGAGGCCACTTCCGATTTGTGTCCTCTGGCGTTCCAGCTTTCCGGTGCCTATCATGGCAGAAGAGGCACCGATGCAGCTGACGAAGCCAGAGGCCGCGATGCTGGGGTGGCTTCGCGCTTTTCCTCAAGTGCAGATGATGCTGAGAGTGAACGTGCTGTAGGCTCTTCTGTACAGTTTTCCTTTGGCTGCAGGCATGCTCTGCCGGGACCTTCAGCCATCCACCGGTCCGCTCATCCACTGCCGTTGAGGGTTTGTTTTGCAGATGGGCCATGTGGGCCTTCGAATCAATGGGCTCGGGATTTGGCTGCGGCCTGTCGAGGTTTCCCAAGGATGTCCCTTGTTCCTCTTCGCCCTTCGTCGCAGCTTGTGCGGGGGGTTCCCTGCACGGCAAACGGGCCACCTCCGCAGCCCTCTCAGTTGGGACGACTTGTGTATGCTCCCAAACCCACCTCGATGCCTCCCTTGCGGCTCCACCTTTCTTCTCAGGTGCAGGTGTTACCCGAGGAGCTTGACAGGCCGGAAGTACGCGGACGACCTGTTGCCACTTTTCACTGGTTTCCAGGGCACCGTGCAGCCGGGGGAGTGTCTGATCACACGGCGGTTCAGCAAGACAGGTTTGCCGTTTTCTCTGTGCCGGGCCAGGCTCAGGTGCTTGTTCTGCAAAGAGGCTGGACCCTAGAGGACATGGTTGCCGAAGCCATCAGTGTCGTCCCAAGAGCTCGCTCAGTCCGAGTGCTTATGCAAAGGCTTGCTGGGTTTCCGCCTGTGCAGCTGGCGGTTACGACCAGAGACGCCGGGCCTAATGAACAGGCTGTTCCTGTGGATTTCAGAAGTGTTGAGGGCCGCATCTGCACGGTGCATGTTGCTGATGGAGACACTGCCGCCGCGCTCTCTGAGCTCTGCGCCGCGGCTTGTCCACCTCGCCACCTTCCACGATGGCCATACGACCTCGTGGATCCCACAGGGCAAGCTCTCGAGCAGGTGCAGGCAGGACTCGGGCTTACTGACTACGCGCAGGCTGTCAGGCTGGCACACCACTATGATGCAGATGCGGTCGAGCTTGATGCACTTGATCAAACTGGTCTCTTCCAGCTTAGCCTCAGTCCTACCGTTTCTCGCCCTGCTCCTCTTCGTGACACCGCTGTTGTTAAAGTAGGACGGGGCGATGGCCTGTCCGGGCATAGCGCGGCTCTTGAATGCCCATCTCCTGGGAGAGCCGAGGGCGCTGCTCTCAACAATACTCCGGATCTGGTCGCTGGCCAGAAACACTACGGTCCCAAAGAGCTCCCTAACCCCGATCGGGAAGCTCGCACACCGCCCCCTCCTGCGCGCGGTTCCTCTTTGAAAAGACCGTCTAACGCAGCTCTCCTTAGGGCGTCGCAGATGCAGATTCACCCCGCACAGGTCAGAGAGTCTTCGGTCTTTGGAGCACCGATTGGTGCCTTTACCTGGTCCGGACTTGGTCTTGGTCCCCACAGTGGTGCTTTCACGGTCTTTGACCCGGTCAGACACCGCATCACGGGGCGAGCACATCCTCATGCAACTTTGCATGAGGTTATTGCTACTGCAGTGTACAGCTCCCCGTTCGATGTTGGAGCCGTTCAAGTGTTGGTGCAGCCCGTGCCGGGACTTCCTGTCCCGCAGATCGTTCTTCAGGTTGTTATGCGACCTCCGGACGAGTTCCCCCTTGTCTGGGATCTTCGAGGGATTGGAGAGCCAATTTTCACGGTCAAGCATCGCGCAGGCGAACCCCGCACCAATGCCCTCAACACCATACAGCGCCTCATTGTCCCGCCCCATGACTTGGCGCAACAGGCCGA